CAAAGCCAGCGCCTGTACCCGGAGCCGGGAGCCTGGGGCTGTGCTTGGCCAGCACTGCCTTCCCTGCACACCTCAGGTACTGCGGGGCCGGGGGGCTCCAGGAGCGAGGCAGGGACCTCTTGTCCCATCAGCGCCGGCTTTCCCTGCCCACAGTGAGGAGCTGCCACAGAGCAGGGCCCCAGCTCGGAGCTGCCACAGAGCAGAGCCCCAGCTCGGAGCTGCCACAGAGCAGGGCCCCAGCTCGGAGCTGCCACAGAGCAGGGCCCCAGCTCGGAGCTGCCGCAGAGCAGAGCCCCAGCTCGGAGCTGCCACGGAGCAGAGCCCCAGCTCGGAGCTGCCACGGAGCAGGGCCCCAGCTCGGAGCTGCCACGGAGCAGGGCCCCAGCTCGGAGCTGCCAGGAGCCTGCAGCAGCGCCTCTGCCCCTGACAGCCTGGGTACCGCGTGCCCGGTGCCTTCTGGCGCATGCCGGAGCTGGAGGCAGGTAAAGGCCAGGGGAGCTGGGTGAGGATGCGGTCCAGGCTTCGTCCTCTGAGTTACTTCCTCCTGTTGGGAATGGAAGCTCCTCTTCTACGCACCTTTTGCAGAGGAATGAGGATGTTTGATGGCACAAGGGTCTTCAGAAGCAGTGCTTGAACTGGGGGGAGTGTCAGGGAAGGTTCTGTCCTCGAGTAAGAGACGAGCAACGTACAGAGTGTTGGCAGAACTTCCCCTCGTTCATGTAGATGCTGCCTCACCTCCAGGCTGTGCAAAGGATCCTCAGCTCCTGCTGCCAGCTCTGACTTTGTTTATTCAAAGGAGGAAGAGTCCTAGAGGGGTATGTGCAGCATCAGCAGCTTAGAGCCCGCAGGGGATGCGAGCAGTGCCCAGGCTCTCCCGCAGCAGGTGGGGCTTCAGCCCTTCTGCTGTCACTTGCTTTGTGTCTCTGCTGGGTTCAGACATTCTCCACTTAATCGGAAGGGTGCAAAGGGACTTAAATCAGGGTTTATTTTGCTCCTTTTAGTGCTGGGGGCTCGACCTCTCCGTTCCTGCAGCTCCAAGCAGGAGGTTTGGGTGCTAATGATGGAATCTGCCCACCAGACAGGTTTTGTACGGGGTCAAACGTTGCCCTTTGCAGCCGAGGTGGAGCTGGTGGCCGCTTTGAGCGCTCCCTGTGTCATGTGCTGGGCTTGGGCTGCCTTGCCAAGGAGCTATCAAAGGGAGTGCTCGTGGTTTGCTCCTTCCGTGGCAGATGTGAGCGAGCTTTCTGTGGGCAGAGGACGGAGGGCAAGCAGCTGAGTCACAGATTAATGTCCAAGTGTCTTAGACAAAGCCCTGCGAGTGCGCGGCACAGAGGTCAGGCTGAGAAGCTATAAAGAGTTTCCAGCTTCCTTCTGCTTTCTGCTGGCTGCAGAGTCCCAGCCCCGAGCCCGGCCATGACTCAGGCAGTTACCAGCAGGGGGAAGCCTGATTTCAATCCTCTTCAAGACAGGCAAGGAGAAAACCAGCAAACAAAGCAGCTCCTCTCCAATCAGTGCCCTCCCTGTCCCTGCAGGGCCTCTGAGGTACAGCAAAAGCATCACCTGGAAAGCATCACCTGGTTTTATTCTGCTTAATTCTTTCTGGCCATCAGCAGAGACCACGTTGGAGCCAAGTCCCTCGGGGCTTTCGGACAGTCACCAGCTCTTCTGCACAATGGCCTTCATTACAAAGACAATGGTTTGGGTTGGAAGGGACCTGAAAGCTCCTCCAGCTCCAACCCCTGCCACGGGCAGGGACCCCTTCCACTGGAGCAGGGTGCTCTGAGCCCCTGTGTCCAACCTGGCCTTGAGCACTGCCAGGGATGGGGCAGCCACAGCTTCTCCTCTCCAGGCAGAGCAGCCCCAGTGTTCTCAGCCTGGCTCCGCATGGGAGCTGCTCCAGCCCCTGAGCATCCCCGTGGTCTCCTCTGGCCTTTCTCCAGCAGCTCCACGTCCCGATGCTGGGGCCGCCGGCAGAGCACCCAGCTCCAGTAGGCGCAGAGCCGCGGGTCCCCGTGTCCGCAGGTGGCTCGGGCAGGCGGTGCCGCACAGCAGCTCCACTGCCACCACCGCTTGGGGCAGAATCCTCCCGGGAGCCCGGTCAGCTCCCGCCGGCTCCAGGGGCTGGGAAGCGCCAGCACTGAACGCTGTGCTCCTGCCTTGCTGCAGTGCCCGTGCCTGGGGCCCCGCCAGCAGCAGCGCGGCGGCATCAGCTGAGGTGAGGTTTTGTTCCCCAGCTGAGACGTGGCAGCCGGGGGGAGCTGGGCAGCTGCCTTCCTCCTGCTTCCATCTTCCTCGCCTCTGAGCTCCGGCAATGCCATCAGCGGGAGTTAAGACCCCAAATGCTTACAGAGCGCACAGGATGAGGGAGCTGATTGAGCCTTCTGGTGCCTCAAGGGGCTGCAGGAAACCTGGAGAGGGGCTTTGGGCAAGGGCCTGTAGGGACAGGGCAAGGGGAATGGCTTGAACCTGCCAGAGGGGAGACGGAGATGAGCTCTGAGGCAGAAGCTCTTCCCTGTGAGGGTGCTGAGGCGCTGGCACAGGGTGCCCAGAGAAGCTGTGGCTGCCCCATCCCTGGCAGTGTTCAAGGCCAGGTTGGACACAGGGGCTTGGAGCAAGCTGCTCCAGTGGAAGGGGTCCCTGCCCGTGGCAGAGGGGTTGGAGCTGGAGGAGTTTTAAGGTCCCTTCCAACCCAAACCAGGCTGGGATTCCATGAATGCTTTTAAAACCCTCCTCATCATCACCGTTCAGTCGCTTTGGGAAGTTCACGGCCTCTTCCTGAAGCTTTCAGGAGCAATTCACCTCCTTTAACAGAGAAGACCAGAACTGTTCAGGAGCAGCAGGGATTTCATACCCAGAACCTGCTGAAACGCTGACTCCTTCAGCAGAGTTTGGCCTGCCAGGGTCAGGGAAGCAGGCTCAGGTCCTTTACTGGGTCTGCACTTACTCCAAGAGCAGCACCAATGTGCAGCACTGGGTGTTCCCAAGGACGGCTCTAGTAGCACAGACCAGACACTGAAGAATGAAGCCAGGTCAGTCACAGAAACTTCCATCTCTTGGAATGGGAGTCTTCAGCTTGTTTGAAACTGGGAAATGGGAAAGAAGTGAACTGTTCCAATAGGTGCATGTAATTTGGGGGACAGATTTCCATCATGGTCTTTGCAGTGATTCGGTGCTGTGCAGGTGGGAGCAGCATCCGTGCTTTGTAATCAAATGTTGTTGGCATTTCCCCTTCGTATTTAAAGCCAGCACTAAGGAGTCTCGCAGTGGCCCTGGAACACCAGTAGGGTGAACACCAGACCCATCTGTAATGACAGCAGCAATCTGTCCTCCAAAGGACTGCTTCCCAGCTAAAATTAAACATTACAAGGCAATAAAACCCTCAGCCCTCCCAAGTGCACTCGAACAGCAGGGATCATTGCCTCCAGTTTCTGCAGAGCTGGAGACAGGATCCAGTTGAGTTTATATCCTCTGGAAGCAAAACTGCTTGATATTCATTTGTTAAACTGCTCAAAATCACTTCTTAGAAGCTTGCAAACTGCTTTCGAGGCAAAGGCTGCCTTATTCCTTAGCAGCTTTGAGGGGCTCAGGCTGATTTCAAGCTGAATTTGCAGCCTGCTCTGATTCAGTTCATTCTCAGAGCTGGAGTGTCCCTTCCTGCCAAGGTTGAGAGCTCTCATTCACTCAGCGTTAGCTCTAACTCCTGGTCTAACGAAGTCCTTGTCTCAGGATTGAGGCAGCACCAATCTGGATGAGCAGATTCTGCCCCTGCTCTGGGACCTGCTGGCAAGCCCATAACCTCCGGTGTTCCTCTGGGGTTTCTGTGCGGCTGAGCAGCTACACCGGAGCTGCAGACAGAGTGCTCCCCTGGGGAGCTGTGAAACTGGGCCCTGCACACCCAAAGCACAGCTGAACCACCACCGCGACCAGAGAACGAGGCCCGAGATGCAGCAGGTTGGGCACTGCAGTGCCTGGCTTTGCCGTCAGCCTCGTTCTCCCTGGCGTCTTTCCTCTCCCTCTGCATCGCAGGACCACGTTCGCGTTACGCTCCCCGAGGCACTGGGCAAGAGCTGCAGTGATAGTTGTAAGCAGCAAGACCCCGTTACCTGATAACTGAGGAAACCCCTGGCAGGAAGTGAAGTGTTCCTGCAGCCAGGAAGTATTTGAGGAAGTGCAAGTTACAGAAACCTTGGGAGCCCCCAGGCTGCAACAGCTCCTTGCACGAGCCATAGATTTACCCAGCCACAGAAAGGGCTCACAGATTAGTGTGGGACCATCCAGTTCCACCCTGCTGTCATGGAATCGTACAATCCCAGACTGGTTTGTGTTGGAAGGGACCTTAAAGCTCCTCCAGTTCCTACAGTCCCTGAGGAAGAGCCCCTCTCCAGCATCCTTGTAGCCCCCTGCAGACACTGGAAGCTGCTCTGAGGTCTCCACGCAGCTTCTCTTCTCCAGGCTGAACAGCCCCTGTGTTCTCAGTCTGGCTCCATACAGGAGCTGCTCCAGGCCCTTGTACCGTGGGACAGCACAGTCCAGTTAAAGAAGCAGCTCTGTAAATTCTGGAATTCTCAACCAATGATCTTTGAGGCTCCTACTTTTGGTAGGAAAACCCTGCTGAATTAGAAGTTCTGGAGGGATGAGGTAGGGAGCTGGGAGCATGAAACAACGTGAGGAACACTGATTGAAGAGCATATGATCACACACTCAAAGACTACAGGGTGCAGGGCTGAAATACTGCATGGCCAACCCTGCTTTTGGCTTTTTTCATGGCTACTGAGTGCTTGGCTATGGAAACATGGTGTAGAAAACAATTGTCTATGCAACAGCTGAGTGCATCTTCAGTGGAACGAAACACCTGGATACTCATTACTGCCGTTTGGGTTGCAGCAACTTGATGCCATAATGGTCCTTGCAGCACACTGCTAATGAGAAGGCAAACCCAAAGAACTGATGAGCTCCACTTAAGCTCTTCAGTTGTGTAAGGATGTTCTGGAGCAGCAGGATTTAAGGCACAATCCTCACTAGAATTTGAGCAACCAAGAGCATATTGACAGCTAATGTTAACCTTTATCATGGTGTCAAACGTACACATCCCCTTCCACCAGCACTAAAAACCAGACCAAGACCAAGCTGTCACTTGGTCAGGAATTCCACTGCTGAGTAATTGAAAACCTCCTTGTGGATACCTTAAAAATCCTGCCTTTCCCTTTGCTGTTGTTATTCCCTGCAAGGTGCAGACCAACAAATGTGCTTTACATTCTCCCTTTACTACATCGCTTCTCTTCATTGGTCCCTACTTTTTCCTTACTGGATTTGCTTCCTTTTTCTGCCTCTTTTTCTCTTTCTCTTTCTCTTGTTTTTCAGCTGTTGGAGCCCTCTCTGCTCGTTCCTTCTCTCATCTCTGTTGCACAGAGCAAATCTTACCCTCAGTGTTCAAGGCTTCTGTCCAATTATCTCCCTGTACCTGCAGAAGGGGAGAAGAACAGTGATAAAAACCTTTACAGGCGCTTGCCGCCCGTTCCCACGTCTCCCCTAAGGAAGGCTGTTGGGATGACACTGAAGATGAATCCTCGTTTGTGGAGCAGAAGCTGGTTTGGATAAACGGGAGGACTTGTGACAATGTTCTGGGCTCCTCCGCTCTGCAGGTGCTGGCAGAGTTAACAGCATCTTAGAGAAAGGAAAATCATTTCACAGACCATTAGGGCTGGTGGGAAGCAGCAGGATCAGGTTTTAATGAATACAGGATCAAAAGCATCTTAAAGCAAACCAGCCCTGAAAACAAGAGCAGGCTCATCAGGGAAGACAGGAGATGCTTCTAACGAGAAACAAAGCACCAACTCAAAGGCATTAGGGAGTCACTTTCTCATAATAGTGCATTTTAAAGTATAATTTACTCTTCTAAAGCATTAGCTTTGATACTTCTCCAGTGCATGTAAAAATAGTGCTATGAGCAGCTTCCCTGCAATTAAAATCTCCAAGTCAGGGTTCTTCCAAAGGAGGTCAAGATTGGTTGGTTTTCTCACAGCTGAAAGTAGTTTTTAATCACAGCAGCAACGCCTAAGTTATCTTACAGCATCCAGAAGCCAGGACAGCAAATCTGGACAAGAAATGTGCACAGCGGGAAGCTCAGACCTGAAGAAGGTTTGGATGTGGAAAAGGGAACTATCCCTTTTCCAGGCACTTCCTCGGAGAGGTGCTGATCACTATGGCTTTGCGCTGAATTTATGCTGTATGGTTGTGGTGGCTGTGCTGGCACAAAGTTCTCCCTTCATGCCTCAAGGGCCGTAGGTGCTGCTGGATCCAAATGCAATGAAGGTGGGAGGGAATTGCTCATTGCAGTGCCTGTTCTGAGGACAGGGAACTCAGGTCAGAAAGGGCAGCAAGTGACCTGTCATTTTACGCGTCTGTTGGAAAAGAACTGGTTCCAGCTGTCGTTTTGAATGGGGATGCTTAAACCCCACCTAATTCCTATGCTTTTCTGGATTCCTGCTTTGAAACGGGAAGCAAAGTTTCCCAAATTTGTCTTTTTTTTACCTATCCGTATATGTGAACCTGCTTAACTTCTCTCCCTCCTTAAGTTTGTAAAGATGGGTAATATTTAACTTCCCCTCCTATTCCATGCAACACTGAAGATTACTGACTTTACAGTGGAGGCAAGCGGGGATGCTGCGCTCAGTCTCTAGCTCAGTACTTGCTGTTCTGCTGCAACAGAAGCAGCTCACAGCTCCCTTTCCCTGGAGGATGCTCAGACTTCCATGGTTCAAAGAAGCTTTTCCTTTCATCACAAACCATAGCAGCACTTCCTGTCCTCCTGCGTGCCCTGCCAGTGCCGAAGCTCTCTTGACAAGGTAAATAACACCGTAGGCTTCGTGCTGGGCTGGGTCAGGGCACTAGGCTTGCAAAAGGATGGAGATTCCCGAGCAGAAGCCAGGCTGGAAGCAGAACCTCTTTGATCCTGGCTCTTTTAATTGGCTAGGACACAAACACTGCTATTTCACAATGAAACCATAAAAGGCTGCAATATAAAGCTTCATTTTCTGAGTTAAACTGAACCCGAACAGGCACCATACCCTCAACCCAAGCAAGGATTCCACTGCAGGTTGTGAGTAGAGCCCAGCATTCTTCCTGCATTACACAGGGCCCATGAGCTCTGTAGGTGTCTCACTGGTGTAAGGAGAGGTGAATCAGGCACCTTGCAGTGTTTGGGTGACTGTTGCATACACAAAAGCCTCATTAAGTCTCTGCGGTGACTGGGGGTGGCTTTGTTTAGAGTGGGTTTGTTTGGTTTTGTACCAAAGATGGCAAATCCAGGAAATCATTAGATAACTGCTTTCATACCCTCCCAATCACCAGGAGCCTCTATGAGCTTTTAATTAGTGCTGCATTTTCAATAACTCTGGAGCCGTTCGTGGAGCAGATTCCTTCCTGGATAACAGGGAGATAATGATGAGAATCCTGGTTTTCAATCTCTCACTAAAGGGACGGCTGATCTATTTAATCAGGCTGTAGAAACGCTGGCAGCTTGCTCGGATGCAGCCTCTCTCTAATTACATCGCTAGAGTTTTAGTGAACTGCAAGGGGAAACACAGGAACAAAATAATTAAAACCAAAGTGGGAGTGAATGTTCAAAAGCAGGAGCTGTTTCATGGGCGTCCGTTTCCAAAGCCTCCCATCAAACCCCAGCTTCCAGGGCTGCAGAAGCAGGAGCTCCAAACCTGGATGTGCATTTCTGCTCCTGCAGAGAAACCAGCCTGTCCCGGAGCATTCACGGACCCGAAGGGAAGCTGTTTGAGAAGTGGGTGCTCTCACAAGCACGGTAGAGCCAAACCACGCACACATCAGCATCGCCCCGTGCAGGCTGTCAAGGTTCAAGCAGTGCCTGCCCCGAGGGAAGGTGCAGTCATTCTGTTACAGAGCTGTGTTAAGGACAGAGGGGTCTGCGAGGAGCGAGTGACAGCATCTTCTATCTGCCACCTGGGACACGACAGCATTGACCCTACACAGCCTTACACAGGGAGGAGAGGTGGAAAATCCCAGCTGCGTTTTCACAGATATCCGCGTTCATTGTCCACTTCCTGGGAACCAGGGACCTTCCTCAGGAGAGCATCACAAACGGCACAAGGGGTTGACCTCCCTACAGCCAGCGCTGGACTGAAGCACAGCGACGTGTGCTCTGCCTAGAACCCCTCAGTCTGCAGCCTAAGTGCAGTACAGGAGGGAAGGGGGCAACCTCCCTGTGGTCTCCAGAACTGGTGCTGTGCTTCAAGCCCTAGGAGGATAAAATACATCAGTGAAAACCCCCTTTGTGCGGGGAACAGGAACCCCAGGGCAATGGAAAGGGCATGGAAATGGGATTCCAGGAGGGATCCATAGCCGGAATAGGAAAGCTTCACAAGAGGCGGGCTCATGGCGTTTCCTCCTCGCAGCACAGCAGTGCCTGCTGCTTCGTCACCGTGGGCAGCAGCTTGGAGCTGAAGCAGGCTCCAGGAGCGGGTCAGGACTTGGATGGGATGCTCGCCAGGAGCCCCGGGGTGCTGGGTTAGCAATGGAGCAAGCAGCGGTCCCTGCGTCAGCAGTGGGCAGATGCGGTCCTCGAGCATGGGACCAACCGTGGTGCTTGAGGAGCGGCATTTTTCACCCGAGATAAGGGACAAAAGACACCACATTGTCCATTTAAACAAGCAGAGCTGTGAGGAGCACGGTGCAAGCGGGTTAACGTGGTTATGGGGGCGCAATCCAAGCAATTCACTGCAAGCCGAGGCTGAGACTGGCAGTGAGGAAAGGCTGCTGGTGTGCTTTAAGCGCCGGAGAAGCTTCTCTATGAAACAGCTTCATTTAGGTCATTAAGGCCTAGTAATGATGAAAATTTGGATTCCTCTGATTGCAAACCATCACAACGAGAAGAGAAGGCCCGTGCGGAGATGGGATCTCAGGGCTGCCGCGCAACTGGGACCTCAGGGCATCATCTGGCCCAGCCTGCTCCGAGCAGGGTCACCTCGGGGGCCCCACAAGGGCCTTGAACACCTTCGATAGAGACCAGAGGATCCCTCTGGGCAAGAAGAGGAGGCTCCGTGGGACCTGACCGCTGCCTACAAGTGCCTGGCAGGAGGCAGGAGAATGGAGCCACGCTCCTGCCTCAGCGCTGGGCATGCGGGGCTGTGGAAACGGAGATCTTTGCCAAATAGAGAGCCACGGCAGCTGAGGGGCTCTTTGCCAAACAGTGAGCTACGGTACCCGAGGGGTCATTTGCCAAACAGTGAGCCACGGCAGCTGAGGGGCTCTTTGCCAAACAGTGAGCTATGGTATCCGAGGGGTCCTTTGCCAAACAGTGAGCTATGGTACCCGAGGGGTCATTTGCCAAATAGTGAGCCACGGCAGCTGAGGGGCTCTTTGCCAAACAGTGAGCTACGCTACCGGAGGGGTGCTTTGCCAAATAGTGAGCTATGGTACCCGAGGGGTTTTTTGCCAAATAGTGAGCTCCGCTACCGGAGGGGCGCTTTGCCAAATAGTGAGCTACCCTACTGGAGGGGCGCTTTGCCAAATAGTGAGCTACCCTACCGGAGGGGTGCTTTGCCAAATAGTGAACTACGCTACCGGAGGGGCGTTTTGCCAATTAGTGAGCTATGGTACCCGAGGGGTTCTTTGCCAAATAGTGAGCTATCGTACCCGAGGGGCTCTTTGCCAAATAGTGAGCTACACTACCGGAGGGGCGCTTTGCCAAATACTGAGCTATGGTACCCGAGGGGTTCTTTGCCAAATAGTGAGCTAGGGTACCCGAGGGGTTCTTTGCCAAATAGTGAGCTATCGTACCCGAGGGGCTCTTTGCCAAATAGTGAGCTAGGGTCCCGGAGGGGCGCTTTGCCAAACAGTGAGCTATTCACTCTGAGCAGACACCCGAGCGCTCCGCCGCGCTGCCAGAATGTGATCCCCAGGCATGGCGGAACGCGCATGCTCAGCGGGTGGGGCCGCGGGTGCATGCGCGGAAGCGGGGCTGACAGGCGGCGGGGGGGGGGGTACTCTTGAGCATGCGCAGTGGTTACGAGCCGCGCGCTGGGGGAGGCGGCGCCGCGCGCGTGCGCGAGAGGGAGGGAGGGGGGGAATCGGGCTCCGTCCGGCTGCTTCGTCAGCGCCGCGCATGCGCAGGAGGCTGCTGCGGGGACCTGCGGAATAATGAGCCACTGAGTGTGCTGCGGGGGCAAGGGGCCGGGGAAGACATGCTGCCAAATAGTGAGCTGCGGCCGCCGGTGTGCTCGTAGCGGGGCTGGCCGCGGAGTGAGGCGGGGGCGAGAGCTCGCGGCCGCCACCCCCAGCCCGCGCCTCGGCCTGGAGCAGCGCCTCCGCGGCGGGAGGCACCCGCTGGGCCCGAGGTAGGAGCGGCCCCGCCGGGGGAGCGGGGCCTGAGGGAAGGAGGAGGGGAAAGTTGGGAGCGGGCCTGGTGCGGGGCTTGCCGGCGGTCCGCAGGCAGCGGGAGAGGTGTGGTGCCGGGAGCTGAGTGGGAGCACGAGTAAGGAAGGAGCGGAAGAGCTGCGGTGAGGAGCAGCCCGGCCGAGCGAGGATGACAGGTTGTGGCTGTGCCGCGTTCCGGCAGCAGGACGGAGCTTGGGCTTCGGCTCAGTTGGATCTCGGGTGTCTGGGATGAGGACCGGGAGCTCTTGGCTGTGTCTCAGGCCTGTAGGGGTGCTTAAAGGAAGTGGTGCATCATCCTGCAGTCTGGGAAGGCAGGAGAATCCCCTTTCGCAGTTAGATGTGCCACTGGTGCGGGTTGATGGAATGCTCATGCTTGCTAAAAGCGTTATCTTGATGAGTGATAGATGGTGTTATAAAGGTATCGTATTATTCCCGTAGTATTTGTGAGGCTGCCTGTGGAACTTGGCTTTTTGCGACCAGAGTTTTTAGAGGGGAGAAAACCACAGAATAGAACGTTATTTGTTGTCCTTTTCCTCCAGCTCAGCAGTGTTAAACGTGTTTACATCTGTGGTGGTAGAGCAGCATCGTGGCATAATGAAAGGGAATACTAGTTTTGTGATTGCCTTTAGAGTTCTAAGTGGTTATGTTTGGGTTGTTTTAATGTGAAACCCTACGGAATTGTGTAAAAGAATTGCACTTTTATTTATGCTGTATATAACAGAACTTTCTGGTTATTACCCCCCCCCCCCCAAATCAGTTCAGTTAACGTAACTGGCTCACTTCTTTTCCAGTGACGTTTTCTACCCAGATGCCAAGAGTGCTTTGGTTTCCTTGTGTCACTTGTTTTGTTGTGACCCGAAGAAAAAGCACATACTTGTTTTCCTCACGGTAGTTTGTGTTGGATGGCTATGGAGCCCACATGAGAGCAGGAGTGCTTTGCAAGCTGTCAGCCTGTCACTCTCAGTAGAGGACAGTAATACAAAGCTGTACGCACCAGAAGATTGCAGTAACTACTGTCAGATCTGATACCTGGATTCACTTGAGTATGGTTACCACTGCTGTAAAACTAATCGTGTTTCCTCCCCAAAACCTCGAGGATTTACGTGTAGATACGCATCATGGAGGGTGTTGCAATGGGGTTTGGTGTGGCACGTGGTGAGCAGTATCCTCACTTACTGCACACAGCACAGTGGAGTGCTTAAAAACTACTTCCTGTGTAATGGATCTTCCAATTAGCTGATGTTTTAACATGGAGAAGGTGCCAGCACTGGCGACAGTATTGGCTTGGTTAGGCCTGATAAATGGTCAAAACAGTTCCTCTCACCACTCTGCTCTGTTTCCACTGAACCCGAGCCGGGTGGGGGGAAGTTAGGGTTAATCTCTGAACTGAGACAGGCCCAGTGTTAGGTCTGCACTGTGAACCCGAGTTTGTTGCCCTGCGTGATTTTTCTAGACACCAATCCAGTTTACAATAAGAGGGACTTACCAGCTTTATTCTTGGCACACTCTTGTGTTCAGCATTTAACTCGTGGGGCTTGCCATTGCACTGTGAACTTGAAATCATCTGCTTCATGTCTTCCTGAGCATCATTTCTGCAAGACTGGGCATAAAAGCTGGGACAGATACCTGTGTTTTGTACACTTAGGAGCTGTTGCTGTGTTAGGGATTGTGTTCATAGTTTCATGCTTGGAAATACCCACTGTAATTTGGGAAAATTCCTTCTCTCCTCCCCAGCTTTGGCTCGATTTTCTGCACGATTGGAGTCTTATGTAAGATCCTGCTGTATTCCTCCAGCCTCTGACTGCTGGTGTTTCCTACTCAGCACAGAGAGGAAATATAACGACAATGTGTTGCTACTTGATTCTCAGTTGATAAGCTGCTGCAGCATTCTGCCTTGTACTTTGTTCTTGGGAGCCCACTTAAATAAAGCATGTGTCCCAAGCTCTAGAATCACGTGAGGGTACAGGAAACTAGTGTGAGATCCAAGTATTGATACCCTCGAGGAAGCAGAGAAGCTGCTGTTTTTCAGAAGCTGTATTAATGTATCAGAACTTCTTTTCTTCCTCTCATGGCCCTTTACTAAACTCTGTAGAAGCATTTTGGAAGGAAGGAGTTGAGTAATTCTGGAAGTCTCTTCCTCTTTGCTGACAATCATAGCTGAGAAGTCAAGAAAATACATAGCCCATGTGAAATGTAATTTGTGGGGGTTTTGGTTGGGGCTTTTTTCTCCACAGTTTTAGGACTAAAAGGATGCAGAACCACTGACTGTGTAGCAAATGCCTGGAAAAGACTTGAGAGTTCATTTTTGTAGTGTGAGTAAATTCTTTGGCTGGAGGCAGGAGTTGCACCATCGTGTTCCCTGACCTTACAACTCCACAGATCTCTTTAAGCATCTGTAGAGTTTATAATGTCAGGACCATGGGAGGGGTTAAACACTCCAACACTGAATTCATAACTGGAATAAGATACTGTTTTAGCCATTGATAGAGTAGAAGGCAGTAGGATACTGGTGACTTCAGACTCACTAGAGGAAAGAGTGTTACCATATCCATAGTGAGACCTCAGTTCAGCTTTTCTTAGCCTGTGTTGTAGGTCTTATTCCATAGGTTATGTTGTATGAGTGTGGACTTGAAAAACGGCTTGCTCTAGCAATGCAGCATGTACGTTATGCATTTTAAATGGGGGCTGATGTAATGCTTGGGCTGTGAATCATACACAGGAGTGTTAATGCTTTTAAAAATTGATCCAACTTCTGGTGACAGAAATAATTGTCTGGCAAAAAAAAAGATGCCTGTGCGCACCTTGGAGAGACTCACCTACAGCAAAACTCAGAATATTGGGTTTAACTGTGCTGTTCTAAAAGTATTTTAAATACTGAGGCATCTCACAAGTACGGTAATATTGCTTCTGAAAACATGCTGGAAGATTTAACTCTGAACACTTAAATTTTGTCCATATTCAGAACCGTTTCATGTCACATCATCTGTAAACTCATAGGCTGTAGGTGGACACGAGGATACTTTAATTGCTGCTTGATAGTTTAAGGTCCTCTTAGTTAGGAGTTAACATTGAGTTCATAGCAGTACAGTTGGAACACATGTGATCCCAGATGTGGCAGTGACATCTACGCAGCATCAATCTGCAATGTGATGTTTAAAAATGGAAACTGCCTTCTGATAGCAAACACAACTTAAAGAATTATATATTTTCGAGCTATGAATATGCAGGAATGGCCCTTGTAGAGGTCACAGAATGATTTGTGGGATTTAAACAGTGACGTGTAGTTGTTCAGGTTGGTTTTATTTCCTCCTTTCCATTAAGTCTAAGTCCTCATCTTTCCCAGTAAACAGCTATCTCCCAAATGAGTCTAACGTGAATATCTCTGTTTGGGCTGCTTCAAGAACTGATATTAAGCAAAACTTAACTGATCTTGGAGCCAGACAGGGAGTTTGCTGCCAGGACTTAATCAGCTGGAGAAGTCTTTTCACTTTAGAACATGTATATTTTGAAGTATGGCTTTAGTTACTGTTCTGCCCACATTCTTTGCTCGTCACTGCAGAAATTTGTTCATAAATCAGATCATAACTGTATGTAGCAACTTTTCTCAAATAGCAGTCATGTACTAGGAGGAGTTTAATTTCTTCTGCTTGGATTTGGAAGCTACTGAGGCCTGAGTTATTTTCTCTTCAAAAGAAATCCTTTTTCATTTTAATTTTTCATTTCAAATCGTGGATTTGTCTTTGTGTCTGAAAGAAGAGCTCAGCAGACAGCCCTGGGTTTAGAGCCATGCTCATAGCAGTGAGACTGGAGTGCAGGTGGAGTCACACAGACCAAGTCCTCTGGAGCTGCTCGATGGCAATGCAGAGAGGCTGCCTGGCTGCCTCCCAAGCGCTGCTGCATAAGAGGCTAGAGCAGACACTGACTACAAAGTTGTCAGTTAACATGGCTAGAACCGTGCTTACAACTGTGTGGACTGTTACAGAATGTTGCCTACCCCTTCTCCTTCCCCAAGGTTCCATTAGTTTATGGTGAAGACATGATACAGCATCCCCTTGGCTGCATGGAAGTCAGGCTCTTGGGTATCCTGCCCTCATAAAGCTGCCATTGTCGTTTCAAAATCCTGTTAAATGGCACCACTATATTGGCGCCTTCGTTTCCTGCAGCTGCTTTTTTTGTGTAGAAGTGTGCAGCCTCAACAAGTTGTGCTTAAAAACCACATGTATCAGTTTGCTGAATTTCTTAGAAGCACTTGTGGGCACTAGCTGAAATTTGGAGAACAGTTATTTCACTCTGCATTTGAGAGAGACAAATTGCCTAAGATTTCCTGTTAGATTGTGGGGGATTTGTGCTCATTTGTTGCCCAAAGAGAAGAACAGTGTGCCAGTGGAGGTATTGGAGTCTAGAACTTCTGAAGATTGCCCGTCAGATGTTGTGTTCTGCCTCACTGCCCTCTGCTCTCTAGCAAGTGAAATGGCTGTTCAAATTTGATATAATACAATAATAGCAGGGAGTGCAAAGACAAGCATTACAGTAGATGATATTCAGCTGTATCCTGGGAATGTGCTGCACTATCCTTGCTTTAGGTTGGTGCCGACCTTAACCAAACCTGCAAGTGTGGTAAAAGTCCCAGTATCAGAAAGAGTTATAACTTCTGTGATTTTGAGTTGGCTCTTGGCTAGCAGATAATCAATATTTCTCCAAGGATAATATTGCCCAGTAGCTTATTGAGCTTTACTATTGGTGGGGAAAATAGGAGGAAGAATTGTTCAAGTGGTTTTATAAGAACAGAAGAGGAAGAAGAAAACAAAAGCAACAAGAACTGGCCACACGTCATCTCTAACTGGATTATTTGAAAGCCTAATTCCCAGAAGGATAATGGCAGAAAGTGTGTTTCAGCTCAAGCTGCGCTTGATAATCTCTTAGAAATATTAAGGCAGGATGGCACTGGGAATATGTGATGAGAGGACTGCCAGGTGTTTGAATTAATGGGAAGTTAATTCCCTCTGGAGCCCTTTATTTAGTTTATAGTCTTGGTGGTTTGCTGGAGGTCAGCTCTGCAGTGTGCTGGGCCAGGTCCTTGGGAAGTTCTTTGGGGAAGAGCAGTGTTCATGGCGTTACCTTTCCATTTGGAAGACTTCCATGCTGTGAAAGTGCACATGGTTTACTTGTCTCAAGAAATCTGCTAAAATGGCAACTGAGCTACTTGACAAGTGACAGGTAACAATTTCCCCTACAAGTAGGAACTGGAGCTGTAAAATACTTGTTACGGTTTGGCTGTGAGGGGGAATCTGAAATGAGAGAGTTCATGGGCAATAACAAGCCCCTTCTCTTCAAAACTAAGCTCAGGTTTCTTACTGAAGACTGAAGTCTGCTCGAGCTCATTGTTTCTGTACTGTGTTCCAGTAACATTTTTCCTTGTGAGAGGAAAGAGATGAGCAGGAATGGACTGGCAAGAATGAAGAGCAAAGAGGTGAAAAGGAGCATTTGGAGAGAAAGGAATGAGAGCTTGCTTGCCTTTGAACGCGCTTCTGACCTGAGTTATCAAATTAGGAGGAAGATTAACTTCTGAGGAGAAAGAGTCTTGAGATTTAAGCTTTAAGCATCTCAGGATGTACCTCAAGAGGATTAAATATAGAAATAGAAAGAGTTAAAGAAGAGGCAAAGCAAACATGTTGTGACCAAAACACAAACAGTGTCTCTAAAACTACAAATCCAGTTTGCTTCTAAGAATGTGATTACTTTTTATATTTACTGGTGTGGGTGTAATTCCAGATACTTTGGGTTATTTCTAGGTAGGGTTGGATGTGATTTAAGGGGGTGCAGGTTTCTACAGGTGTTCAAACACCGGAATGAAGCAGTGTTAGAAGAAGTCCAAAAATCCAGCTGAAGGACTGAAGAGCACGGATTCTCAGTGAAGGTTTTGTTTATAAAAGCAGAAAGTTATTTAGAGGAATTTTGGCTGTTGCTTCCCACAACTTCCTCTCTCTTTCCTTGGGTTAGTTTTAGCTTTTGCTATTTTATCTGGTGATATCTGGGGAGGAGGATGTGCTACAGCTAAAAACTCGTGTTCCTTTTCTTCCACAGTCTATGGCAGACGTGCAGTTCTCCTCACAGCATTGATATTCTGCTGACTCTTGTCCCAGCCCTTCAGAGTTTATACAAATTATTATTTTTGGAAGTGACCAAACCTATTTTTAATATATTTTTTTCCCCCTTGTTTTATAATGGGAAAATTGGCTTAGGAGGAAAAATAAATTAAAACCATTCCAAGAATGGAAAATCATAGAATGGTTTGTGTGGGAAAGGGCCTTAAGATCATCCAGTTCCAACCCCTCTGCCATGGGCAGGGACCCCTTCCACTGGAGCAGCTTGCTCCAAGCCCCTGTGTCCAACCTGGCCTTGAGCACTGCCAGGGATGGGGCAGCCACAGCTTCTCTGGGCACCCTGTGCCAGCGCCTCAGCACCCTCACAGGGAAGAGAGCTTGTGCCTTATCTCCAACCTGAACTTCCCCTGTTTCAGTTTAAACCTGTCACCCCTTGTCTTATCACTACAGTCCCTGAGGAAGAGTCCCTCTCCGGCATCCTTGTAGCCCGAAGCTGCTCTGAGGTCTCCACAGCTTCTCTTCTCCAGGCTGAGCAGCCCCAGTGTTCTCAGCTGGAGCTCATCCTCGTGGCTTCCTCTGGACTTGCTCCAACAGCTCCATGTCCTTTTTATGTAGAGGACACCAGAACTGCACACAGTGCTCCATTTGAAGGAGGAACAGGACATGGCAGGTTCGAAAGCACACTTGTAAGGATATATTTCGGTGACCTTTTAC